ATGCACCAATAGAATCCGAAGCACAGAATTTTCCTTAAGGTCAAACAATGAGCCCCTCTCATCGCCTTCGAATTACATTATCTTGCTCGACCATGTCCTATCACGTCCAACAATTGCAGTGTCGTCCCGCTTGGCCCCAATTCTGGACAGCTTGGCTTAATAATGCGCTAGCACGTTCATGAGTTTTTTTTTTTTTTTTTTTTTTTTTTTTTTTTTTGCCGTTGGTAATTGTCCAAGCCTCTGAGTCAAACATTTATAGCCATTGCCCATTGACGTAGGACTTTCTCGCGTTGACCCAAGAATATATCACGACAACTGAAAAAGATATCTATCCACGAGACTCGCCTATGATGGTGATGTTTCTGCCACGAGGTCAGATTCCTTCCCACCCAAAACCGGGTAGTTGTTGGTGATTTTGCTTCCTGTTTATACTTCGTACACCATATGGGGGGATGGATTTGTATAGCCTCATTTAGTCACCTTCGTCAAGTATATACTCAGTCTCATCAGAAGTATTGTAGTGGACTGAGACCCACGGCAAATCACCGGGACACCCGCGCCGCACAGACGCACTCCACCAGAGCCAGACGGAAATTATTTGGCGTTTATTTTCTGGGTGCCATTGGAAACGAGGTATGGATAGAGGAGCGATCACTTCATTAATAGTTCCTGGGACATTCCCAACCTGATAATATAGCCGAGAGAAAAGAGAAGCGGCGAGAGTACTTAGCAACAGTTTCCCAGCTAGCGGAAAGCCACCCGCTCAGCATTGAGGAGCGAGTTAGCGTGAGGCACCCCTGCAACTCGCCGTAGAAAAAGTAAAGGAGTGGCTGCCGAACAATGCGACATACAACCTTTATCCCTGCATCAAGAGATCGAGTATGACAATGATCAAATAGGTACTATACACTTTCCATCTTTTGAAAGCCTCAACAACATCAATTATATCCTAACCGCAACACAAGCCGAATCTCAACTTCCCGCGGATAAACAGAAATGTACCCAAATGCCAGCTAAAATCTGACCGGGCCAGCGCACGGTGGTGATCAACAAGATAATATCTACAACAAATTCCTACCCCACCACCATTACAATCCAAGAATAATAATCCAGATTTCTCTCTTTTCATAATCCAAAAACTCCGACATCGACATAATGTCTTCTCCAACCCCCAACCCCAAAACAATCCCCCTCCCAGGCCACTTCCCCAACACCATCTCCGACGCCCAGCGCGTCTTCAACGTTCTCCAAATTGGAGGCATCGCCATCGTCCCCACAGAAGTCGGCTACGGCCTCCTAGCCTCCTCCGTCGAGGCGATCGAGCGATCCTTCGCCGCGAAACAACGCCGTCCAGGACACGCCCACGGTCTGATTGGATCGTACGAGCTGCATCATGAGCTGCACGTTCTCGATGCGGAGAGGTTCAACATGACCCGCATTCTCACTCAAGACCTCGACATGGGTTTAGGCATCGTGGCTCCGTACAGACCAGACCACCCTATTCTGGCGAAATTCACCCCGAAAACACTAGCCAATGTGGTCAAGGATGACACGATTGCGATGTTCGTGGGTGGGGGTTCATTGTTGCGGGAGATCTGTAGGCTGAATTATGAGGCTGGGCAGGTTATGGTGGGGTCTAGTGCGAATTTAAGTGGGAGGGGGCAGAAGTTTCGTGTGGAGGATATTGAGGAGGAGATTTTGGAGGTTGCGGATTTGATTGTGGATTATGGGTTGCAGAGATATCATGTTTATGGGAGGGCGTCGATTGTGATGGATTTTGGGGAGATGAGGGTGCTTAGGATGGGGTCGTGTTATGAGTTGTTTAGGGAGAGGATGCGTAGGTTTTGGGGGGTGGAGTTGCCGGAGGATCCGGTTTATAAGACTTAATGGTGAGGGTGGCTAGGGTGTATATAGACGGGGGAATAGAAGGAAGAATGGGCAGGCCGTGAGTCAATAGAATGTAATATTCGCCAAATCGTCCATATGTCTTCCTCCAGCAACAGTCTTTAGATATAATTCGACAAGCCAAAATGCAAGCCCGTACCGGCGCCTAATATTCAACAGAACGTGAAAGGCGAGCAATGGGTATTTGCAGCCCCGGATAACTTCAATATGCTAGACCGAACCATGCAAGCGAACCAATAGCCTCCCTCCAGCGGGTGAAGCAGTGAAGGTATCATAGAGACGCATATCCTCCTCGGTCATGCTACTATCGATCTCCCCATCGAATCGAAGGAAGAAAGCCGCAACTAATTTATTGAGCTCCATTTGAGCCAAGCTTTCATCGTCAGCACGTATTAGAGTATCTGGCAGATTTTAGAGTCACTCACTTCAAACCTATGCATTTTCTGGGGCCCATAGAGAACGGCGCCAGTGCCTCTTTCTGCAACGCCTCGTTCTCCGTCTCTAGCCAGCGCTCAGGTCGGAATTCTTGAGCGTCAGGGAAAGCTTTCTCATCGAAATGAATTGTCCGATTTTGTGCGCCCACAACTGTCTGCTTTCTGTAAGTATCATGATGTGGAGGTAGATGATAAGTGTAACTGACCCCTTTGGGAATTGGTACACCTGCAATAGTTGTGTCCTTGACTACGGTGCGAGGTAGGATGGCAATAGCAGCGGGATAGCGACGGAATGTCTCTGAAATAACCGCTTGAAGATACGGCAAAGAAGAGCACGTCTGGCAACGGTTTAGTCAACTGGAAAGTGATTGAATACAGATAATACATACCCGATGGTCCGGCATATTAGTAGCATCTGGGAACGCTTCTCTCAATTCCGCCTTGAGCCGGGTCACAACATCTGGCTTACGCAGACATGCCCAGAGAAGAAATGTGAACGTATTAGCGGTGGTGCCGCTTCCTGCGAACCTGGATTAACCGTCAGAAGAAGTCAACTCTATATGATGGAGATCAACATACATCCCGCCCATGCATTCCTCTGCCAACTCCGAGTTGGTCAAGGGTCTTCCGAGGAAGGCATCTTCGTCACCATTCAGTGCCGCTCGTAGAAACGGAGTCTTAGTGCCCCTTTCACGGCTCCTCTTAATCAAGTTGACCGAATACTATGATCTTCAGCTCCCGTTGATAGCTCAGCAACTATTCTAGTAAATTTCACTCACGTTCTTCCAGGCTTGGACTTTCCTGAAGTAGTCACCCACATACCCTGGAACATATACTCCCCATCGGTCTAATTGCGGGAGGAACTCTTTCTTTGTGGAGGTCAATTTGTGATACGAGGGAGCACTTTTCAACACTTACGTAGATATAGGTCGGCTTCCAGGCCTGGAGATAGGCCATTACCTCATGGCTTCTTCCTGAGGTAACCTGGCCTGGATCCTCGTCGAACATCAGGTGGTCTATGCCGCATTATATCAGTGAAGTGTGATAACCAAAGCCAGGAATTCTGCACTCACACACCACATCAAAGGCAAGCCAGTGGAGCCAGGGGTAAACATCAATAGGACCATCAGTTGACCGTGCCTTCCATTGTTTGAGAACCATATCAATCTTGTTGGAGATATGGGGCTCGAACTCTAGCATGGCTGCCTGCGAGTATCCCCGCGCGAAAAGCTTCCGTCGCTGCCGATGCGCCTGCACATCCCTTGGTTCGATTAGTACTTGGCCTGCACACATGCTGTCGGACCTACCGAGTGGAGAAAAGATGGTTCTCATGGAAAACAGTCTTCGCCCGCTGGATATAACAATTAACCCCTCTTGAATCGCATATATAGTGTCATGGGTCTTACGTAGAAGGTTTCCTCTTTGACCAATGCAAGCGAGGTGTAAATAGCTCGTGCAGCGGCAGGCTCAGCGAACGACAACTCGTTTGGCCCAATTCGCACTACCGGTCCGTACTTGAGATGAGCCTCGTGAATTCGGTCAGACTTTCGGCCAGTCCGATTCCCAATCCTGCTCCATAGCTTGGAGACTTTTGCAAGTGGTGGTCCAGGAAAGCTGCGGAGAGGATGGAAAAAGAGATTGTAGCATGTGAGGGCTATAAGGTAGCCCGGAACGGAGAAGGCAAGTACCAGGTACAACATCTTCTATGAAACCTCTGCAGCTTGACCGAGTACCACACTCTACAAGTATGCTATGTAGCCAACCATGGTGACCGTTGACCTTTAAATCTTGGACGGATAGCTCGGCATACTGCCCCTCGCTTCCCCAACTGACCCATCGACTATGAAAACCAACTCTCACTGCATGATTTAGTTCTTGATCGACCATAGCATGGCTTGGTATGGGAGTGGGGTACGTTACACCAATTACAGCTAGATGATTCGGAGTTGAGACGCCTAATGAAGCTTACCCCGCTCGTTGACGAAGCCAATCGCGCGGGTTCGATTCGTACAGGGCCCTGCACTTGCCAAGTAGTAGCCGCCTGTCCGTTGCCAGTATGTGTCGCGGTGGTGTATATAACCGGAAGCATAGAGAACACTACTATCTTCAAAATTACTATAAGCCGGCAGCCATCGTGTACCTGCTTGTCTTTGGTTATCTTAACGATGGTGCGAATTCACCCCTGAACGGCAAGGTTATTCGCATCCACCTCGCTACTCCGGCGTTGAACTAGTGCTTTGAAGCCATCGTTGGGATAAGATATGCCTCAGCGACGATTCAATATATTTTCAGAAGTTGGGACTCACTTTGATTCTGCGGTCATACGGGTGGGGGAAGGACAGCAGGTGTGTAGCTTTTCAGCTACCATTTTGTTCCAGTGGTACTATTCTCTCTAACTAATGGAAGGTCTGTTTAAATAAGTATACCAAATAACATTGAGTTTCACCTGTCAGGATATCGGATATGCCACGGACCAGAACCGAGTTGGACGAGGTAACACAACGTCATGATGACTGAAGAGACGACAATATAAACCAGTAACTATATAGATAGGTTTGTGCTCCATCCGTCAGCCATTCACTCTACCCCATCAATCACATTTATAACGAACAACAATCTGTAGTGAGGGCTTAGCATTGTGCCAGATACTCAACAACAATCATGTCTGCAACAGGTGGCCAACCACCGACCGTCATCTCGGCAACCCAAACACCAGAAGAAGAGGCACGTATACTATTCAGTAACAGTCCCCTATGTGTCACTCCTAACAAATTAATCACCATATGTAGGCCAATCTCAATATCGCAAAAGAATACATGTCAATTGCCTACTCACCAACCCAGAACAAAGGTGCCGAGTCCGTGCGCCACCTGTGCACTCCGGACAGCTGGTTTTGGAGTCCCTCTACTTTTCCTGGATGTTCGACGCCCATGGACTACGCCGACTCGCACGCCCATGTCATGGCGTCGGTCAATGATCTGCATATTGTTCGCTATGACCAGGCGTGGGCAAAGGATGGACATGTGCTACTGCGATATACGGCTGAAGGATCGCATGCGGGGAAGCCGTATAAAGGAATTGAGAGATCGGATCCACCACGGAAAGCGAGATGGAGCGCTGCTGCTATCTTTGATGTTCAAGATGGCAAGATCAAAAGCTTCACGAAGGATTGGGACCAGAAGGTGATGCAGGTATGTTGCTGGCCATTGTGGGTGGTATGCCGCTGTGGGGCAGTAGCTGATAAGGACCGATGATGCAGATCCAGCTTGGGTGGGCGCCGGTGCAAGAATCGGATGATCCGAGGTGGAATCGAGGAATGTTGGCCGACCCGGAGAAAGCCAGGAAGGCGAAATAGTATGAATCTTCTATGGTGCATTTATGGGATGCGATTTTGTCTATCTTGTGCGTTCGTCAAAATTATGTCTGTGAATTTCTCAGTCTTAGTCTACTACGCTTTGTACGATCAAATTGGACATGGAGGGAATAATTAAATGGCGCTTTTAGTACTTTTGTGGAACTGCAGTAGACGAATCAGCATCCTTATCGCCAGCATTCAGTCCACATCAATCTATAAATGGGGCCATAACTGACACCTGAGGCAGAAGGACCAACATTATCTCCAACGCGCCTTCCTATCCTGGGAATCTAACAGCACTGGCGGTGAGGGCGGGCGAGCTATGACGTGCCGCTCTCGGGGCCACCCTCTGGCCCCCTCTGTTTTCTCCGTCAACAAACCTCCAAAACAGTCCATCTCTACCACGGTACTCCTACAATTCTCCCTAATTCACACGTTCGGAAGTCGAACATCCTCATAGCCATGTTTCTCAACACTGGCCTTTCCCGAAAAGTTCTCAAACCGTATGTCGCCGAATTTCTCGGAACGGCTCTCCTGATCGTCATCGGCGATGGCGTCGTCGCTCAGTGTCTCCTTTCCGACTACCAGTACGGCACTTGGCTCTCGATCAACATTGCCTGGGCCGCAGCTGTCTGCATCTCAGGCTACCTTTCCGACCCCGGTCCAACTATCAACCCAGCTGTGACTATCTGCATGGCTCTCGTCCGTCCCACTCCCGGACAATGGCGTAAACTTCCCGGCAAACTCTTTGCTCAGTTCCTTGGTGGCTTTGTCGGTGCCGCCATTGTGTATATCAACTACCGCTCCGCCATCAAAGACTGGGACCCTGAGTTCACCATTCCTGGCGGCTCGATCCTGAGTCCCCGTGGACATCACTCTGCCGGTATCTTTTCGACTTACCCTGCTGCATTCTTCGAGTCGAATTGGGAGGCCGCATTCTCGGAGTTGCTCGGGTCTGCAGTCTTGATGTTTGGTATTCTGAGCATCTCGGATCCGGTCAATGCGATCAGATTCCATTCGCCTCAGGTGACAGTGTTCTTCCTGCTCACTGCTATTGGAGCTGCGTTGGGCTGGCAGACTGGCTATGTAGGTTCTTCCAATTACTGGTTCTTATCAGTATATCAAAGCTAACTCTACAGGCTATCAACCCCGCGAGAGATTTCGGTCCTAGACTGTTCTCTGCTTTCATCTATGGCAGAGAAGTCTTTACCGCGGCCAACTATTATTTCGTTGTGCCTATCTTCGCTCCTATTGTCGGTTGTATCGTCGGTGCTGCCACTTACGACTCCTTCCTCTATGAGGGAGACGGGTCGCGCATCACCGACGCTCTGGACAATGTCGAGGATCGCGATGGCGCTCTGCGGTTGCACTAAGCTACGTTGCTACCCGTGGCTGATAAGCTTTACTGAAAGACGATACTGGCTGAATAGAGGGTCTTGATATGACCGCTTTTCTCTTCAAGACGACTGACGAAGATATGTACAACGACACAAGGCTGGGTTTTATGGGCAATTGTAGCCCTGGACTGTTTGACATGAATATTAGGATGACGGTGGCGACAGATGTACGATGGTATACAGTATATATTTCCTCATTCTTATTCGATCGATGTTATGCGTTTCATTATTAGTTTATGCCATGATGGCTATGGTGCTAGCCAATGCAGTGTGACAGAGTTCAACGAGCTTAATAAAGCTGAGGAGATTATCTTAGGCTTCAACTTATTTACTCAAACCTCCCAAACTCCCCCCTTAAATATTCTAATACGTTACCATTCCATTTATAATGTCATGCCCGATTCGCCGGCCACGTGAATATGTTCAAGATGTTTATGACCAAAGCTATTACATTCTATACCCCAGAGAAAACTTTTCGACAGCGCCACAGCCGAACCGTCTGCAGTTCGATACTACAATGAATCCAGATATGTGTCTTTCCCCCCAAGCTTGCCCACGGACCCCGCCCATCATGGCCAGGATCCTCACATCTGCATAGCTGACATGGGACTATGTTATTGGTTCCGAAGAGCAGGGTCGTCTCGGCCAATCGTAGCTTTGGCCGCTGTGAGTATTTGCAGCACGAGACGCAACGCTAGCTGTACCACTCACAGATCCCTCAAACCTGTGCAATTGGAAGCTGTGGCCAGCAAGACTTCCCCGGGGTACTCGTGGTTGGGATTTTTGAGGCAAGATACTCATATGCCAGACTACCACGGATGCTATAATAATGAGAGGCTTTTGTCAAACAACTTTATTAAATATTTGTTTATTTTCGCAGTGAGTTTGGAGATCTCTGGGAATATTGGGATCGATTACTGTGTAGAGTACCTCGGATGGTGGTGATGAGCGGAGCCGGAGCTGGTGCGGAGACCATCTAATGAGCCAGAGTGTCTCAGAACATCACCTCCCATCCCAGGTACAACGGAAGTGGGTGTCCTGAACCTTCCACGTAACGGTCCTCTCAACCATCCCAAAAGCTGGTCCACAACATCGTGGGGTGTGAGTGGCAGACAATGTGCGACCGGTGGATGGTGAACCCACCGAGAATTTCTCCGCACGAGCGTCGATGAATGAGATGTAGCAGAGACTGCCCCGCGGTGCCCATCAATCGAGGGGCAGATCAGCCAATTTCCTGCGCCCCTCTGACCTCTTGAGCTCCTGATAAGGACACGACAGCTCCTTCTCTCACCAACGTTCCGAACACACCAAAAACCACCTAAACAACCAGCATAATGGCCAAATCCGCCTCCCAGATTCACCGCGCCTGGTGGAAGGAATGCTCCGTTTATCAGATCTGGCCTGCTTCATATAAGGATTCGAACGATGATGGCATCGGTGACATTCCCGGAATCATTTCCAAGCTGGACTATATTAAGAATATAGGTGTGGACATTGTTTGGTTGTGTCCTTCATACAAATCGCCCCAGGTGGACATGGGCTATGATATTGCCGATTACTACAGCATTGCGGATGAGTACGGCACGGTCGCGGATGTCGAAAAGCTCATCCAGGGGTGCCACGAGCGGGGCATGAAGCTTCTTATGGACCTTGTGGTCAACCACACTAGTGATCAGAATGAGTGGTTCAAGCAGTCGCGCAGCTCCAAGGATAATGAGTATCGCAATTGGTATGTGTGGAAGCCGGCTAGGTATGATGAGCAGGGTAATCGGCACCCGCCCAACAACTGGGTGTCGCATTTTCAGGGTGAGTCTGATGCTTTGATTGGGGTTACTCTATATTTTTAGTGGGTGTTCTGACGCACTTTGTAGGTAGTGCCTGGGAATGGGACGAGCACACGCAGGAATACTACCTCCACCTCTATGCGGTAGAACAGCCCGATCTCAATTGGGAACACCCGCCCGTCCGCAAGGCGGTTCATGATATCATGCGCTTCTGGCTAGACAAGGGCGCGGATGGATTCCGCATGGATGTCATCAACTTCGTCAGCAAAGACCAACGCTTCCCGGACGCTCCTGTGAAGGACCCTCGTACCCCTTGGCAGTGGGGAGACAAGTACTACGCCAATGGACCGAGACTGCATGAATACCTCGCAGACCTGGGTAAGATCTTGAAGGAGTATGACGCCTTCAGTGTCGGCGAGATGCCCTTCGTTAGAGATACCGAGGAGGTGCTCCGCGCTGTGCGCTACGACCGGAACGAGATCAACATGATTTTCAACTTTGAGCATGTGGACATTGACCACGGAACTTACGACAAGTTCGAGCCTGGAAGCTGGAAGCTCACTGATCTGAAGGCCTTCTTTGAGACGTGGCAGAAGTTTATGTACAACAATGATGGGTGGAATGCTCTTTACTGGGAGAACCACGATCAGCCGCGGTCGATTGATCGCTATGCACAGGCAAAGGAGGAATTCCGCACAGAGGCAGGTAAAATGCTGGCGACAGTTCTTGCGCTGCAGTCTGGTACGCCGTTTGTGTATCAGGGTCAGGAAATTGGAATGAGGAACGTCCCCATCGAGTGGGACATGAATGAGTATAAGGACATCGACTGCCTTAACCACTGGCATCGGTATGATTTCTCTTCTATACATGTCGAAACTATTTACTAATTGTTCTCAATGATAGACTTCTTAAGTACAGGCCCGATGACATCGAAGCCCAGAAGAGCGCCCGTCAAGAGTACCAGAAGAAATCCCGAGACAACGGCCGCACACCGGTGCAGTGGTCCAGCGCACCGAACGGTGGATTCACCGGCCCCAGTGCAAAGCCTTGGATGTCCGTCAACCCGGACTATGTTCGCTTCAATGCTGAAGCGCAGGTCAATGACCCAAACTCGATCTACCATTACTGGGCCGCCGTCCTTGGACTGCGCAAGAAATACCTCGACATCTTTGTTTACGGCGATTACGACTTGGTTGATAAGGACAGCCAGGAGATCTTTGCCTACTCTCGTCAGTATGAGGATCAGAAGGCTCTGGTTCTCACTAACTGGACTGAAAACACACTGGAGTGGGATGCTACCGCCAATGGCGTGAAGGGAGCCAAGGACGTCGTTTTGAACTCATATGAAAGCGCTGAAGCGGCGAAGGGGCGGTTCTCGGGACAGAAGTGGTCTCTACGCCCGTATGAAGCAGTTGTTCTGTTGGTAGAGGCTTAAATATTATGACTGAGATGGTATAAGCATAAGGGTTGGTGATATATAGTGCGGCCTTAGATGGCCGCCAAATGACCATTCTTAGTTCTCGTTATACACAGTATCCTTGAGTATTAGTCTGTCTGTGCTGGTGACTACGATAGAGCCCCATTACTACCTCGATAAACCAAACATCATTTGAGGCATATTGGGCAAGTGAAAGAGCCTCAAATTCATACCCTGTTACTATTAATAGGCCGTTTCCCAGGACACTGTGTACTACATTGACAACCATCACACGAGCTACTCGCCGCCCCGATGTTTCCTCTTGAGGGACATCAATGAAGCACTAAATATGTCCTTACGTCCAATGCAACTAGATTGTGTGTGAGCGGCTTAGCTCAACAACTCACTACATGAAAGAAGTCAAGCCCATGTTATTCATCAGACGCACCACAGATCCACATACCCAGACCATGTCCACCTCATCTCTATTCACACCTACCATTCAATCCCCCCATCAACACCATTAACCAACATGGCTGTACTACCCTTCACTATAGACTATCCCGTGTCTTAAACACCCACTCTCCATCATTTATTCACATCAACAACACTATTCAAATACCCCGATTCCCCCAGCATGATCATTACTCTCTTCCTTTCCTCATCGTCCTCCTTCCCTCCCTCTTGACCCCATAAACACCTTATCACCAAATCCTATCCTACAATCCACATCCAAAATGAACCTAACCCTCATCCTCGCCCTCCTCGCCACCCTAGCAGCCTCCATCCACGCCGACGGCCCAAGCTTCACAGACATCTGTAAGCCCACCCCAACACATCCCACCTTGTCACCAACATACTGACCGACCAGACAAACCCCAATGCCACAAGGACACCGACTGCGGAACCGGATGCTGCTACAACGGTCTCTGTCTCGCCTACTGTCTCCACAACGAGGATGACGTTCACACGGAACTAGTCCGCAGTTTCATCGATGGTAGAGCCCCCCTCCTCCACTTATCTATGCTACCATACCCACTCACTAAAACACACCCAGAATCCCGCCTCCACACAGAAGGAGACATAGACACCACCGCCCCGGTCTGCCACACGAACAGAGACTGCGGGAACGGATGCTGCTACCACGGCCTGTGTCTCGCGTATTGTCCGAATGATATGGCGAAGCGGGGCGATGGGGATGCTACTTGGCGTTAGTACCTCCTCCTCTTTGATTCCTTTGAGGGTGGGATGTGTTAGCTGACGAGAGTTGGGTATGATAGAGTCTCCTGGCAAACCGCCCAGATGCAATCGCAGGACTTGTAAGGGTGGGTGTTGCCGGAAGGGGCTTTGTACGTATTGTTATATGGATAAGAGGGATGATGGTGTTGATGAGGGGGTGTATGGGTATGATTTGGATGGTGATGTCGATTTTGATGTTGATGTTGGATTTGATGTCTACGACGATGACGGTCTCGATGTTTATGATGATACCGACGACGCAGCATCGGCACCGGAGATGCATAAGAGTGAGTCCAACCCTACTTCCTTCCGATGGCCAACCGACTAATGAGTTCAGGATACTCCATGCCTGATATCGACCTCCTCCCCACCTCAACAGACATCATCCACACCGACGGCATGTGCAGCAAGAAAACATGCAAGGGATGCTGCTGGCAGAATGTCTGCATGGCTAAGTGTCCTCGCGGTGAGCAGGATGAGGTTGTAGACGACGGTCAAGAATCCGAAGAGGCTTCTCTTGACCTCGTGGACTGGAACCTCCCACAGGTTGTCTGCAGCCGTACAGCCCCGTGCAAGGTTGGATGCTGCTGGCATGGGCTGTGTTGGGGGTTGTATCGGTGGAAAGGTAATTAAATCATATTATGAGAGAATTCGGGGGATTCGGTTGGTAAATGAGTTCAACTGGGGACGGACGAGCAAGAAGGAGTGCACTTCACTGATTGGATTTTGGTATGCTTCGGGACGAAGTAATCGGATGATGGTGCTGTAACTCAGTACTTGGTATTGGACTTGCAGTCCTCTACGAATTAATGAAGACGCATTACATGCAATCTTTTCCTTCGTACATGAGTAACTATTCCTGAAGTGTTTAACTATCGTAACCTCATATCCTTAAGATCTCTAGCATACACCCCCGATCACCATACCCCAACCTCCACTCACATCAACCAAACCCCCAGCACAACCGGAAGCAACCCCCAAACCAGTCTCGACACCGCCAAGTTCCTCACGCCCGCACTCGTCATCAACACCTTGGGCTCATACGCCGCAGGCTCCGTACTATTCCTCGTTCCATCCCAGCAATACTTCTCAAAGCACCGCTCACAAACATCCGGCACCTGGGTATTCGTCCGATCGAACGAGCGACTCAAGATCGCGCAGCCCGCGCAGGTCGGCCAATCCTCATAAGACTTCCTCGACCCGTTACCCATCGTAACCACGTTCCAGCCATTAGTGATCATCTCGTCACGCTCCGAGATCTCGTACTTGAGCTGGAAGGTCGATTTGTTCGACAACGTCGTGTATGGGTAGTTAGGGAGGTAGACGACGAGGGGAGCATGACCTGTGATGTTACTGCTATTGCAGCCGAAGAAGGTCGGACGGGTGTTCAAGCCCTGGTTGATGAAGGTGCTTTTGTCTGGAATGCTGGGGAAGGCAGTGCCGTTGCCGATGCCGGTTGAGTTGAGACTGCGTTCGTAAGTGGCCACGAGGGGACTGCCGTTTGGCCAGTTGTCTGAGGTACTGGCTGAAGAGTCAACGGCGAAGATGACGTCCACTTTGCGGGCGGGTTGAATGAGAGGATGGAGGGGAAGGTTTTGTTTGTCTTCGCCGCCGTCGACGACGTTCAGGTCCGGGGTCTTTTCGTATGAGATTGTCGCGTTGCGGTACTCGTAGAAGGGGTTGGGGGAGTAGATGGCGATGTCATCGTTGCGGTCGCCGAGTTCTTCGAGGATGCTGGCGAGGACCGTTTTGAGGGCTGATGGGATGTCGGTGGTGTTGAGCTTGAGGATGAATTGGTTGAAGAGACTGGAGGAGGTTCCCATGACGAAGCCGGCGTTGTCGAAGCCGCGGACGCATGATCGACCGGATGGGACTTCGCCGTTCTCGAAGTAGGAACCGAGGTATTCGAGGGGAGCGAAGCCGAAGATGGATGGATCGAAGCTGCCGAATTCCCAAGGGTTGAACTCGTACACGGTCGAGTTGCTGCCGATTAGGGTCTCGCCTGGGTTACGGCCGTCGGCGACGAGCAGTGGCATGGGCATGTTTCCGTTCTGGAAGTCCTGGGTCAATGCGATCGATGACCAGGTGTAGCCGGGGCCTCCGTCGGTCGCGTTGATGAGTTGGTAGGAGAGTGCGCGACCCCAGTAGTCGGTGAAGGAGGTGTTGAAGCCAGCGTCTTTCTTACCGGCCACGACCTTGGCTAGGTCGCGGTAGTACTTGGCTGTGTCCCAGGCTTGCAAGCCGTTGGTCTTGGGGCCTTTCGTGATAGAGTTCTGGAACTGCCAGACTTCGCCCTCTTTGTAGGTTTGTAGATTGGAGACGGTGGTGAAGTTGTTGATGTAGATTGAACCTAGGAGCCAACCACCTCCGGAGAGCCCGGACAGGTATGTGGCTGACTGCAGAAGACCACCGAGCTGTCCATTGTGTGTTGAGTTCTCTGTTCGACTGTCGAATGCTTTGAGTGCGCCGGCGCCGTTGGTAAGTGCTCTGTAGCCACCGCCAGATACGGCAATACCGATGTTGGGGATGTTGGTGATGTTGGACGAGTGGCTGTTGATGTATGAGACGGCGTCAAATGAGCTCATGTTGATGTGGCCGAAAAAGTCTTTCATCGCTGAGACAGTCTGCTTACGCCGCACATCGAGCCATGCTGTCTCGTTCGATGACAGGGTTGACGCGCTGCGGATTGTCGGTCTGTTTGCAGGGCAGGAAACGTTGCTCGGGGTATAACCGTCAGGAGCATTGTCCAATGCGCGAGGTGAGATGTCTGCAAATGTGAGATCGGCGGTTGTGGGAACAGCGATGCCTCCTATGAGCGGGTTAGCATGAGTTAGTGCTGCATGATGATGTTGAAGATAGGAGATATACCTTGGATATACTCCAGGGCGGCTAGAGCCGTAAAGAGTGCATTAAACTTCATGTCTGCTCTGGGTTGCACCAAGTGACACGTCTAGCATAACACAGACTCCAGTGCATGATAAATGAGGGTGCTCCGCAGGGATTTATAAGAAATTGACGAGCGGACCACACTATTAGCGCTTATTTATTACCAAAATCTCCGAGCACAAAAATGAGCTCAGAGAAATCTGAGGTGGCAGGGCCAAGCCAGGCAAGGCGCAGCATGTAGACATTGTCGGCCCTGACTTGTGCTGCCAGAGATACTACAGAAGACTTTGTTGTGATTGCATTGTGCCCCGTTCAACTAAGCTAGTGCAGAAACCCCGTCAGGGTCCATGAAACGGGGAATTCCGATTGGAGAGTGGTGTCAGGCAGCAGAATAATATTGAGGCGATCCAAAATAGTATCTTCCTGTGTGGTTTCATTGGCACCGCATAGGCTCAGCCCTACGGGGCAGCCCGCAACTCAGACCCTTCCGGGTTTCCGAACGAGGAACAATGTTTGGGTAGACCTCCGTACGAAACCTCTACAATGGCCTCTGTTGAGATATGACAGGACGTCAATGGACCAGCACAGCCACTGAGTATTTCAGTCAGCGCATATCCTGCATAAACTACAGGGTTCTCGGAGCAACAGGGCGAAATTGCTGGCTGCCAAGACTCTATCAGCAACAGGGCTGGAGTGGAGACCCTCAATTAGGCAACTGCGTCGTTCCAACGGTCTATTATGGTTCGTTTACCCCTAGTTTGATGCCATATGAAGTAATAAAAGCCGCTAGCAGGAAGTTATTGGCCGCGGCTTAACCGTTATTGGCGAAGGAACAGCAACAGACTTCCGCCAGGAAAGCCACCTGATTAGGTTCGCTACCGACACTCAGAAGCTGAACTGCACTTGGCATTGGGAAAGAACAGTTTGGATCACTACACGTAGAACTGAAGTGAAGTCATATGGATGCTATCTCTACGGTTACAAAGCAGCACACTATGGCTCAGATGACAAGTCATGCCATTAACATGGAATTACGCAGAAGCGACTAGGGAAGAGATGTGATGTTGTACAGTGAGACCTGGAATACCAGGGCGACTTTCATAACAATAGCACCAAGAGTTCAGTCTGGTATTAGGAAAAGATAGAGAATTGTGCATTCAGAGTGAATACATTTAGATGTGACATATTGGGTGATGGAGATTGAATAAGCTGCTCGTGAATGCAGCAGGGCGGTCAGATTCTGCCGAGTCCGGGGCTTTCTGGCTTCAAGCAATGATCCGCTCATCTTCCACCACTATCAATCTCCTTGTATCCGATCACCTCAGCCATGTCTCATTTTCATCCGGATGAGGCCAGGTATCCGCCTGGTCCATCTCACAGACCTATGCCCCGCCGTGACGACCGGGACGGCCGCATGTACGACGATCGTTCGCCATCCCGATCGCGCTCGCCTGGCGGTATACGCTCTCCTCCCCGCAACCAGTAGCACAGAGCGCATGCTTTCCTTGGACAAGCGTCAATTTGCTTCTTCAGATCTAGCTGTTACTAACTAAATCACATGAGAAGATCTCTCACGCTCGCCTCCCCGTGGGCCCGCGGCGGACAGAAGACCCGATTATTCCAGAGACCGAGTCGACTCCAGACCCCGTTACCGCAGTCGGGATCGCGATGACTTTCGACGGCGCTCGTCGCGCTCCCCTCCTCCGAGGCGAGGAAGACCAGCCTACCGGGATCGCGACCGTGAGGGCTATCGCTCTCCGGGATACCATAGTCGGAGCCGAAGCTACAGTCGCAGCCGCAGCCGCAGTCCTCGCCGCAACCGACAACCGCATTACGGACATGAAAGCAGAGAGGTGATGATGGATGGCCTACCGGTGGACATGGTGGAAGAAGACGTTCGACAACTCCTTTCCCTTGATTTTTGTTGTGGACTCGGAGCGGTGCTCCGCCCAACATCTTTGATGGCAAGAGGCTGAGAATGCATGTCACCGGGTTCCGGTCGACGTGGTTTACAGATTACCAACGAGTTGAAAGAGTTCTATCATGTTGAGGGTCTAGATGACGTTCGTGTCATTCGTGATCGACAGACAAGTGAGTGGGATGTAGCTTATTCCTGCTGCAGTGCTAACATGTGGCAGAGCTGTCCCGACAACTTGGATTTTTGAGGTTTCGGAATCTAAGCTTATCCCGAGCATTCGTGGAGCGCAACTTTCCTACGATCTACCTACATGGACCCAGCGCACAGGACGACCGCGGCACAAAGGTCCGCATCGCATATAGCCGTGAAAGAGAGGACCGTGCTCGTGCGAGAGCAGAGGCAGACTGGAACTGCATGATGGTATGTTTCACGGGGTTTTCTAAGCATGGAGCTAACAGATGCAGTGTGGAATTGTGAATTACTCTACTCGCCAAAAATGCTTCAGGTGTCAAGCGCCCCGGCCAGGTACGTTCACTGCGGCTTCCATCTTGTATTGCGTTTCTAATCTGATTAGATGCCGGCCCGGCTGGTCCTCCTGGGTTGCCGGCACCGAAGGTGGAAAACCATGGCGACAATGATGCTGCGCCGGAGAACCAACCCTCTCAATTCCTGCTCTTCCGTGGACTGGAACCTTCGGTAACGGAAGAGCTTCTCGCCAAAGGTGTTGCCAAGCTGTATCGTCCTGCATCTGGGAACGAGGCACCAGGCAATGGGAAGAAGGGGGCAAAGGTGGCTTCTACTACAGGTGATTCCAACCTTGGTGCCAGGGAGGGCTCCATCCGTCGCGTGTTGCTGGTGCGAGACCGTCGCAGTAACGAGAGCTGGCGCTATGGATTCGCCGAATTTGCGACTATTCAGGTAAGCATGTCGCTATTTGCTACCAAAGCTTTCTAATGCCAGACAGGATGCACAAGCTGCTATTACACGTTTGAATTCGTTCGAGAAATTCACCATATCATCCAGACCGGTTCTGGTCAGCTACATTCACGCCGGTGTATTTGTTCCGGTGCTCAATCCCACAAGCAACGAGAAATTCACATTCAGTCCTCTGAACAACCCATCGCTGAAACTTATGTACTGGGACGAAGAGGCATACGCCAATGAGCTTACGGTATCGACGGCCGAACTCGACAATCCAAAGGGAGATAAACCAGCGGGTCAATCCGATAAATCCAAGGATGCAGATAAAGCGAAGAAGCGCAAGGCGGAAGCGGCTGCCGCTGCCGGAGCGAAGAAGATGGCAGTCCCATCGCATCTGCAATTCTGGAGCAACCGTCACGCCGAGTTGCATGGAATCCAGAAGAAGGACGCGGACGAAAAGAGCACAGAGCATGGCTCAGACCGCGGAGTCTCTCCATCTGAAGCAACCGCTCCACCATCCCAATCCTATGCCGATCCCAACCGCAATTGCTGCTACTTGTGCATGCGTCAGTTCAAATCATCAGCAGAAGTTAATCGCCACGAGCGGCTCAGTCAACTCCATCGTGGAAATCTACAGGACGAAGAACTGGTAGCCAAGGCGACAGGCAAGCTCATCAAGCACGGAATCATCCCAGCACCAACTGAGTATCGTGACCGCGCACGAGAGCGGCGCAAGGCGTTCGGCTCTAAGCCCTCAGCGAAGAACCGACCCGCTCCGCCCCCGCCAAAGGAAGAGGAGCCCCCAGTACAGACCACATCAAAGGGAGCATCTCTGCTCAGCAAGATGGGATGGACGGGTGCCGGCTTGGGCGCTCAAGGCACCGGCATGACCGCGCCGATAGCCACAGAGGTATACGCCCAGGGCGTGGGTCTAGGCGCGCAAGGCAGCAAACTAGGAGACGCAACCGAAGAAGCCGGGCGCAACACGCGCAACCGGTACGACGAATTCCTGGAGAAGACGAAGCAAACAGCACGAGAACGATACGAGCAGCTAGACCGATAGCATGTACAGTAGTTATTCCTGACACCGTCTTATGCACGCAATGCGATATAATACAATAATCCATCCCATAACAAACAAACAAAAAAAGAGTAGAGATCCATCATTCAAAAAGGGTATCTTCCATCATATCCACCCCCATCCATTTCAAAACCCCTCACTCCTTCTTCCCCCCCTCCACAGCCGCCGCGGCGGCAGCAGCAGCAGCAGCCGCACTCCTCTCCTTCTCCCTCTGCAACTCCTTCCCAAACTTCTCCCCAAGCACCTTCTCAACCCACCCCTCCACCTCCCTCTCCAACTCCTTATCCTCCCCGCGCATCAACGCCCCATCCCCCTCCACCATCCCCTTCCTCACGAACCGCCTCATATCCTCCACCCCATTGATATCCAGCGCGTACAGAAGTCCTCCCGCACCCATCATCCCGAACGACAGCACGTTCATCGTCGCCAGATGCAGCGCCTCGAATGCCTCCGCCCCGCCGCTGACGTTCAGCTTGTGGTACACGCTGCTCGTGTAGTATGGTGGGATGCTCGCGAGAAACTTCCGGTTCATGGCTCGTCGGGTGCTGTAGATGCTGAATGTGAAGAAGGCGAGGCCGCCCAGGAGGAGTTTTAGGTTCGTTTTGGGCGTCCAGAGGGCGGGGAGGGGGGGGTTGAATTCGTCTGAGGGGGATCTTGTCATTGATGTTGATGCGGGTGGGGTGGAGGAAGGTTGGGATTGGGGGGAGGGGGGTTCGGTGGGTGTGGTTTGGGGGTCTGTGGAGGATGAGGAGGATGAGGAGAAGAGAGAGGAGAAGAGCATTTTGGTGGTTTGGTTGGTGGTGGTGAGGTGGGCGGTGCGGTTGTTGTGGCTGTGGTTGTAGTGACAATTGTGCTTTGTAGAAAAGGGTGAAGGTAGAATAGTAGAGAGTATGGTATGTGAGAGGACGTTTGGTTTATATCCTGTAGGTAACTGAGATGAGTCTCTGACTGCGATTGGAGATTCTGCGGAGATGATGACCAATCGGGAAAGTCGTGGTCATGTGATCTTATCCAAGTCTAGAACCATCTTAGGATTATACATGGGCAAGTAGATATTATTCGAATTTTATGAATCGAAATTACATATATGATGGCTATATATTACATACTTATTTGACTCGCCTCTCCTCCAAATGTATATATCTGCAGTACTCTCTCCTTCTGCGCCCGAATCCATGTATTCATCTCCTCACTCAGACACAGCAATTCCAGGTTCGACAAGTGAGACGATATCATCCATCCACCCACCAGCGCAGCAGTCGGATAATGAGCCGTCGTGACTCGCCGTCCGTCGGCTTCTGGGTACTCGATCTTCTGTGGACTAAAATGAACCGACATCGTCTGGCTGCCGAGAATGTATGGTACAGTAGCGCAGATGTCAAGAGCAAGAGTCTCAATCAGGTTAATAGTCTCCTGTATTTGCTCCAGCATCACACCATCTGGTAGAATCTGCAAGCAGCGGAGTATGATGTTTTGCACGACAATCCGGGAATCCCGGTAAAAGTTCCATGTTCCGGCCATCCAGAGGTCGGTGTAGCAGTCGCAGCGGTTTTTGTACATGCCGGCTTCCCGGACGGACTGGGGGACTCGGACCGCAGGGAGTGGTTTCCAGTGTTCAGGGAGTGCGTATTTCCAGGCTTCGAGGTTCGCATCCAAGCTGTAAGCCCGTGCGAGGATGTCGTGGATGTCCTGGACTTGGTTTGTGCCCTCTTCGTTGAATCTATCCCATGCTTGGCGGAGACCGACTAGCTCAGAGGTGATCATGAGGAGCTGGGATGATGCTGATTGTGGTGCTGCGGGAGATAGAGGCCATTGGTTTGGCGTCTGCATGGTGGGGTAGGCTAGGCCTTTGGACGATTTGATCTGCTGTGGTTAGTATATGGCTGGCTGAAAGGCTACAGTACATACCAGCTGGACCTGGACCGCATTTTCTAAGATCAGCGATATAATCGAAGATCGCTGCTCCGGCCGCTTGCTGTTCACGAGAGCGACAGCGCCTCGTAAATGCGTCCTCCTTGGATGTCTGTTTTCCTTGATAGCGCAGAATTCCTACCGACATATTAGCGATCATCATACAGCGGTCATTGTCGACATACCTCATAAGTAGATAAGAGAAGGATACTCATCAAAACATCATCCACAGTGTGAGTAATGTCACCCTGTAACGCTTCCCTCGTCTTGGCGATAGCCTTGACAAACAACTGCTGCGCTGTCTGCAGAAAAGACCGATTCCCTGTCCAAGCAGCCACAGAGAAGTACGACACGGCCAAAGTGCCGACATGTAAATGAGAGCCAGGCTGAGTATAGCAGAAAACATCAGGCAAGATGTCCATGAACCCGCGTAGGATTAATGGATCTCGAGGTGAGTAGATGTACGAATTGAAGAACATCGCAGTCACAGTATCATCAGTCGGCAAAACCAACGCCCTTGGGATCTCCTCCTGCGCAGTGCGCAGTAGTGGTCCGGTCTGCGGAAGATCTGCGCTAGAGTTGGTGCTAATCAAAGCATCGTTGGATGATACCGGAGTAGGCGAAGATCGAACCGATCTTACTCCCACCTTCGGAGAAGACACTTTACTAGACGTATCTCGCTTCTTGCGGTGGAACGCTACTTGGTCTCTTAACATGACATCAAAAGGGTGCGGATAGCCAGGGCATGTCCGGCCTGTCCGGACACATGCTCTGCAGTGTGGACGAGTTTCATCGCACTACATTATTAGCAATATATTACTAGATGGTTCCGTGCGCATACCTTGATCCGTCGTTTCCGACAGTTCTGGCACCCCGTGCTTGGCTTCCCGCCGTATACCATGATGGATATTGCTTTTCCGATCAGGCGGCAAGATTGGTCTCGGACTAATCGTTGGTGTATGCAGTCGGGTTCGGATAGTGGTTCCACACAAGCACAAGTACTAGCACTTCTGGAACGGTTCCTAGCAAGCCCATAGTTTGATGGCCGATCCACTGGATTGTCTGGCTGCCAGGGCTTGCATGTTCACTAGTTGTCGCACAGATCCAGCGTTGCGGGACCAAAGCCGTCAGGAAATCGGGCCTGTCAGGTGTCAGCCGATCGCCTTATCGTCGCTCACGTGGGGCATGAGTCAGCTTATCTTATCGTTCGATGAGATTTCAGATGTTCGCATAGTCGTGCATTGAATGCTACACAATTAGACATAAGCATGTAGAAGTGAAAGTCATGTTAAGCTGAATATCAATTGATCATGTAAAGGGCACATCACCCACCAACGCTATTGAGGATATCAAGTACAAAATGCCATCCTAAAGTTCACAATTCCCAGCAAGCAAAAAGAGACAACATAAATCATGAAACATCATCATCTAATCATAAGTACATCGCTATACCGTATTATCATTAAGGCGTCATCTTGAAAAACTCGAAGGGTATGTTCATAACGCATAATTCATCGCAAACATGAAGACCTGCGGCTAAAGCCGCATATATGCAATCAGGCAGCAAACAACCACCCAGTCATCGTACAGAAATACTTTTTTCAGGACACCTCAGTAGCATCCTATCGCGAATAGCCGGTTGTGATTAACATATCGGCCCGACCAGGACGGTCGAAACGATCGATTCCGAGATGTTCCTTGCCATCCCGACCCACATAGATTCCAAAGCCGTACATGGAATGTTCTCGGTCGCCAGGAGGGGCAACGACCAGTCGGGTGACCAGATCCGCCTTGCTCCTAGGCTCGCGCAGGATCTTGTCTGCTAGCAATGGGCTTTGGTACAAAAAGCTCATCTGATCGGCCAGAGTGCTAATGTCATGTGGCAAGCGGCGGCAGCGGCGGGGCCATATGCACAGGAAAGACACCATGTAGAGTGCACAGAATGCCACGATGGCATAGAACGCAGGCATCAGAGCAGAGATCAAGATCGTCCCATCAGACGGGTGGTACAGGGCGATAAACATCCCACCGGCCAGGATAGGGATTGCCGCGGACATCGTGCTCACGAATGAAATCCAGGCCACCTTATAGTGCTTGTTCAGAATTGCGGCGAGTGTCACCTGAAAGGGAAAGCAGGAGGTGTAAGACAATAAGAGACTATGCTCTGCTCGAGCACCGGTCGGAGAAGCTAGAGCAGCAAACGGCTGCAGCGCACGGAAATAGACATCGATTGGCTGCCATGCCAAGAAGAGGACATTTCCAATGAAGGCCGGAACAAAACTGTAGCAGAAGTTGGAAGAGGAAAATGCACCAGTAGACGGCAGGGTTGGCAAACGTGGAGGGAATCCGTCTTTGACCGCATTGTGGATGAAGCTGACCAACACGAATGCAATAAACAAAACGCAAATAATCATCGTCCAGAGAACGACGAAGCCATCGCGAAGGAACCATGGGATCCAGCGATAGCGAATAGCTGGCGAATACAGATGCTGGTAGTACTCTTCCTTCTCTGCCAGTCCATGCTGCTCAACGTCGAATGATACCCTTGACAGGCCGTGCGACTGCATTTGAAGATTCTTCTCCTTGCGGTGCAATGAAGGTGTCCGAACTGGTGCATCTACCTCGCCGATTCCGTAGAATATATCCGCACGGTTTGATAGTTTCCAGTAACCCAATCGTAGGAATCGTGGGTCGAGTGATTCGCCTACATCAGGTAGCGTCTCCGATTGTTCGAAGTCGTGCAAAATGTTCGATCGTTGGATAATTGAAATCAGATCGGCCAAACTCACAGGGTCCCACATCAATCCCGACCATGTGCGTACAAAACGAAACATGAGCAGGAGCAGGCCAATGGTCAACAACGCATAAATGGCCACGAGGGTCCAGCCAACCGCCGAAACTGAGGCCCACCGCCACGTCCCCTGTCCATCGATCAAGTACCACTTAGCCTGGAAGAGGCAACTCAACAGTGGTAGAGTGATCAAATTTGACAGCCACATGGTGAACAAAGTGAAACCAACTATTCCCTCGCCATGCCGGAAGTAGGAGAAGTCCGGTATCAGGAAGTTCCGTGATAAGATAGGCAGGCTCTGGAGGACATGACCAAGCGGCCGCTCTGAAGCCATGATGGCAAACGGCATGATTCTATACACTGCCGCTTGGATCACAAACGTCCAGATAGTGATGACCATCCCCAAAATTTGGGGGAGGAATTGCATCACAAAGTAATGCGAGCCGCCTAGTCCAGTATAGTCCCAGAGACCATCATGCCGCCGCGACCATACATTGCAGAAGCTTATTCCAGCAATCATTAGCAGGCAACAGATGATTATGGCAGCCAGTGCCCATGACCGCAAGGCTGTAGGCACATAGTCCAATGGCGGGTACAATAGACTGTCATGCGGGGGTTCAACGGCGACAAACGATTCTGGATCTACCGAGCTTTGAGGTACCCTCCCAATAGAGTCGGATGATTGTTGCGGTGGCCGTGCTGGTGGTGTCGCCGGTTGGCCAGGCGAGCGAATGAAGCAGCCCAATCCTTCGTCCCAGAGCAGTGGCTCGAGAGGACTGTCATTGCTAGCGAGCGAACTTCGCCGTCTGGGCCCAGCAACTTCCTCGTCACGCGTAAGTTGACTGATGGCGAAATGAATGTATGGCGAGTCATCCACCCCAGGAGTAGGCGGCCGCCCCGCATAGCTGTCACTGGGCTCCCGGCGACTCGTGGTATCTGACATGGGGCTGGGCTCGGGGTCTTCCTCTTCGACTGCACGTATGGTCTGAGAAGGGGGTGTAACAAAATTCCTGTTCTCGCTCGGGACGTTCAAAGAATGCTCCGATCGTGCACCAGCGGGCTGCGGGGCTAGATTCGTTCGAGAGATGCTAGGAGACGGTGTTCGAGACGGAGGATGAGAGTTTGGTGTCGCATACCGCGCCACGGTGAGTCGACTGCCGCTTGCTCGGGATCTTGCACTTGAAGAAGGGCTTGAGAAGGAGTAGTAGTCGTCGGAGGCGGCGATCGACTGTTGAGACTGGGTGTGCATTAATTGTGGTCTACTAGCTGTGTGTGAGGAGATCAGTCATCGGTCAGCCTGATTTCGAAGACGCATCATGCTTTATTCCTTGGCTGGGTGCCAAGGTTATGCAGAGTAAACTTACAACTGACAGTTCTGAGACTCACATTCCCAGAGCCCGGAGCGAGCATGGCGGCGGCCGAAATGCAACCGAGGAATGTATGCGGTGAACAGCTCACTTGCAGTGCGGATTGTGGATGTGTCCGATGAACATTCCCCCAGATGCAGACCCGGTACCTGCCCACGAGGTATTAAGAGGCAAGTGCAGCAAACAAAAAGGCAAGGGACGATGCTGAATTGGGCTGGTATCACGGTTTCGGGTGGTTGGTTATACGGGCGACCATGTCTCCCAGCCTCCTTGGGCTTGTGGTGGCTGGGCCCGAGGAGCAAAGGGCCGATCGGACAGCGCAGGGCATTAGTGCCTGTTTAGCCCTTTGGATCATCGACATGGTCATCACTGATTGGACGATATTGTCGACGAGACATGATGTTCAAACTGTCAGGGAGGCTGAGGATGTGTGACGGGGGTTGAGGTGGCCCTTGATGGATGGATCGCCTTGAATTAAGAGCCACCGCCCGATCCTAGGTTGCGGCCCGATCCACTCAGACCCTTGATTTCCCACCCACGGTTCCCATCACTTCACATTGTGATAGTGAAAAGGTTGTTTTCCAAGGGGTCCAAGTTGTTTATTTGTTTAAGTAACAAATGTGTGATTGGGAATATTGTTGAGTCCTGCTAACATCACGAATGCATGTGGACTCCGGACTCTGTGGGGGGGTAACAGGAAGGGATTATATATCTCTCCCACACAACCTCTACATTTACTTTGAATGTTATAATCTTCAACCATGCAAATCCAAGGACAATGCAGCTATTTGCGTTCATTGTATTAGTAAATATCATGTGCTCCAGTCTATAACTAAAAATTAGTACTATGGATAGGAATAATACTCATATGTACCCCAGTCATTGCCGTTATGAATCATACAGATATCCGGCAATGACTCCTCCCCAACCGCCAGCATTGTCATTCTGAGTCGCAATGACCTTGGTTCCTTCAAGAATCATATTGGTCGTGCTCTTTGTATTTGTTCCATACAGATATATGGAGGTTGAATTGGCTATGTCAATCGCATTGGTCTGGCAGTCACCGCTGCAATCACCGTTGTTGTTGAAAAAGACCCAGTTGCAACCACCGTAGAGGAAGAGGTCGGACGAGCCATAAATGCGTTCAAACAATGCCATGCGGCACTTGCTATCATTGGCAGCGCAGTTGCTGAAGTCTGGATCACTGCTGTCGAGATATTGCCATGGGGTTGGGTTGAGAGCGCGGCTCCCTGCTCCCTGCCAGTATGGTGTTTCACTCTGCTGCATTGCAGTGAAGACGTTCCGGGCATACTGAAAATTGTACTGGTAGAGTGTATTGTGCTCGGATCCTGTGCCAATGAGCCAGGTCGCGGCTGTACCTTCCACTAGTAGCCCACGGCCGGTGGAGATGGTTTGCGGGTTGTCCCCATCGAGATCGTGATCGGCTGTCCATCCCCACATGTTCTCAATGTAGGCAGATGATGTACTGGTCAGGTGGAGGAGCCCCCAGGCTGCCTTGCAGTCATTGGGGTCGTCCGTACATAAACTCTCCACTTGGCTACCCGCCGCTCCACCAATGCGGAAATGCGAGTTCCAGAAGCCAACGTCCCCAGGCGACCTGGCAGCGATGTTGACCTCAACCTACAGCAGAAGGACATATTAGCGACCGTCATACAGAGACCCAAGAGAGATCATGTCTTACCAACTTGCAGCCCGGCAGAACATCTGCCACAGTGAACACCATGTCACTAATTTGCGCAACACCCACATCTCCCGGATATCCTACCAGGATCATGGCGCGAGGAGCAGACTCATCTTCAAAGTTGCTTCCGACGGCACTGATTGTCGAGGCATATGCATCACCGATGATCCGGGTACCAGCGGGCACGAAAATCGTATCCGTAACAATGTACGTCCCGGCGGGGAAATACATGAGCGAGCAAGATGTCTTGTAGCGGGACAAAATGAGGTTAATGTTCCGAGTATCATCCGTCTCACCGTCCCCATAAACCGGGATCCCCGGAACGTTTTTGATATTCAGGACCTGCCCAGTGCTATACTCTTTATACGTCGGCGGCGCCATGGTAAAATAGTTTTTCCCTGACAAAAGCGATGAGGAGCGGGATGTAGTAACTGTCTGGCCCTGTTGCGACTGGAATTTGGCATTGTTGGAAGTATACTAATGTTTGAGTCAGATCAGCCTGCCTTCCTTGGTCGAGGGGGCGCACTGCATAAACTTACCAAATGTCCATGTACCCAGGTGTTGGCAACATTCCCGCTCAACGTGGTTTGTCCTCCTATCTTCACCGTGGCGCCTGAATTCTGAACGTTGTCGAGGACGATAGAATTTCCTGCAGTGTTCGAACTAGATGATGAGATAAGAGTACCCATGCCAACACCAGTAGTATCGACGACGGTCAGAGATCCGGATGTGCCTTGCGCGTCAATTCCAAGGGTACCCTGTTCGAAGCGACAGCCCAAGAATACAATATCGGTCCCTCCGGCCACGACGCCAGTAGTGGTACCACTGAATGAAATGTTCTTGAATACCCATTGTTGGCCACTCAACTTCATGCCGGTTGCGCCGCCTTTGAACCAAAGGTCATTCTGTAAGCTGTCAGCGCTATGCCATCATATCAGTTGAGAGCACAATTACCAGTATCAAGTTACTGTTGTAGTCGTATTGTGTAGTTAGGCCGACGTGCTTGGCAGTGTTTGTAGGCATATTAAACCCGACATTGGTGAGCTGAGTTGCCTGGCTAACGGTCCAATCAAGAAGAGTGATGGATTTATCAGCCCCGACCCCGGTCGAGTCGATGATAATGTTCTTAATTCCGAGGTAAAAATTGATCGTACCCCCAAAGTTGGGATCCTTGGCGTAGATGATATGATCGTCCGCGAAATCTGATGATGCCTTGAGCACAGGAGGGTTCGTGGGGTCACCTATAATGACAGTCCCAAGGTACAGCTGCAGAGATGACTTCATAAGATACGTTCCTGCTGGCAAGTAGATGATAGCAGGTTGTCCAGTAGTACCCATGGAATTGGAACTGCGGTCAGGTCCATTTGACGGTCCAGCTATGTGATGTTCGGTCTTAGAAGATGTTTAGAGTGATGGATCGACTCAACCATACCTTTGATTGCAGCTGAGATAGCTGCTGCTGCGTCCTTCTGTCCAGTATTGTCCGCGCCAAAATCCTTGACAACGTTGCGGAAGACATTATAGTTGTCTTTGTACTTCGAATCCATGAAGGATGACTGTCCATTATGATCAATCTGTTCATACCAGTACCCAGACGAGTTACTGGATGACGTGCATACAGAATCTTCTTCCGCCAGTGCAGAATGAGTTATGGGGGCGGTTGTTCGATAAAGCCATGGTTGAGCAGATTGGTTCTTTATCGTGTAAGGAATTCCGCTATTTCAGTCAGCACTTGTAGACATGTGATATGAGACAAAGTGGAAAATACAAGACTCACGAGGGCTTGGGTTGGTAATTAATGGGAGGAAAATGCTGTAACGGCGACATAACACGGGAGGCTGAGCTATTCCTCGATCCTCCATGGGGAACTGCCCATACTTGAAGTGAAAAGATGCATAATATAGTTACAAGAACGGAGACGGTAGGGGAGCGCATGATTGAGACCTTTCGAGGGTGGTGTAGGGGAAATTACACAACAGAAATCAAGGCTCGACAGGAAGCAAATCCATTCAATCCGAACGAACAGGCCGTATACTGTCTCGTTAGGATGGGAACAGTCTGACAGGACCTGAGCGAGAGGAAGAACAAATGGCCCAGGTCGGTAGCCTGATTCAGGACGATGAATACAAGAGGCGATGACCGGACTTAAATGAAACCATTCATGGTTATGAGCTCGAAGACTTGCCCAGCCTGCACCTGCATACCAGGACAGGGCCGAGGCATGGCAGGCCCAGTCCATCCCCGCCGCCATAGAATCCGCATACTTGGGCATTGGGTCCAATTCAGGGAATGGAAGGCACTGCGTATGGCACAAGACAACATTTCAAGTTTGACAAATTATGTGGTCGGGACAGATGTTTTGCTTTTTTTGCTTCCTTAAACTTTCCTCCTTTCCGCTTGGCCCAGATCCACTCGGAGGAGAAGGTTCAATGTGGACATTACCCCTTTCCGACGAGCAGGCAAATCCGCTCTGTTGCATGGTGATGCGAGAAGCGAGATGTGGGATATAGCTAGGCCAGTAAAAAGGTTGAAGTCAAATTATGACAAGAAACGGACTTGAGGTGCAGAATGGAGGAGCGAGACAAACAGTCATGTTAGCATCCGCGGTGTCACACGTATAGTAAATAGTAGTTTGGTGGCCTGCTGATCATTGCAGACAGCTCGGCGGGAGGCTTGGAAGGTACCGGATGAGAGACAGCATGCCGCAGAACACATGCCGACCCGCAACCTTGGAGGGAAACACGTAGACCCTGGATGGCAGGGCCCGAGTTATGGACGTGTCAGTCACGTGAGTGTGTCGGTTGGTGGTCTGCTGTACATGAATGCCTCATCTGCCATCCTGGCTTGATGTCGGAATCTTCAAACCTACATAGGCCAAGATAGCCTTGCTTACGCTGTCCACGCCTCGTCATTTATTTGATCACCCCACTAACATAACTAACAGTGCCCACCTTCCCATCTCCTAGAAACGTTCCTGGCCTTTGGCTAATAGGCGACAGTGCATGCGGTAAATACGATATTTCGTAGGTTCATCGCACTTGAGACAATAAATTCTCTATCGATCTTTCAATCTCATATTCGGCAATTCAGTAGCGGAGAAAGATCCCGAGAACACGACGGTGTTGTTAATGATTTCCGGATCGTGTGCAAGGGGTGGAGTGAATCTACTACTCTTGCCCCTTACGACTCTGCTAGAGGCTACAATCTCACCATCAACTATCCACTAGACCAAGACAAAATAATTTCCTTACATATGACTTGTTTACAAACTGAACTGTGGCTTCCTGGCGACCGGCCCGGGTGAAGCTCGGCCTTTAATTGCCAACGTAACGCGCACTTTCACTAGAGTCGAACCCTTATATTCTGTTTTCGGAGAGGTTGGAGAGCTGGCCAGCCTGCCGCTACGTGTGATACAACGTAGCGCTGGTGTCTTCAGCGCTTGGTAATCTAAGTTGAAGCCCTAGAACTCCCCAGTTGGCGTGCTGGTTGTAAACAAGCATAACAGCGAAAAGCCTGGACTTGGTAGACTCCAGTAGTTGATTATTTCTGACGCACCATAATTGTAACCCATCAGACGTAAGCTACACTAGTTGGATGCTCCGAGCCAGTCGAAAACATGATGGGGAAGCCTTGCGACCAGGAATATGGCTTCTGCCTCAAATAGCCTGCAAACGGAGCTCGCCGTTGCTTAAGGAAGTTGCCATCTCGCAAGCCGTTTGGTTACGATTGGAGAGGATGGCTACATTTCCACTAGCTTAACATAAGGTAACTTCCATCTGCAATTCTTGTTGACAGTCAAATCAGGTGATCTGTTGCCCTGAGATATAAGAGCGCAACTCAAAGTTTCCAGCATGTCTCAGCAGGCTGTATTTGCATGAGACACCGAGTAATTGAGTCCAACAAGATGAAGCGCTTGCCAACTGAAGTCCTCGAGATGATCGGGACCTTCGTAGATGACAAGCCCACGCAAAGGGCTTTGACTAAAAGCTCTGTCGAATTCCACACGCTGTTTACACCACGTCTCTATTCCTCTATCATCCTACCAAGCATCTGGACACCCGTTCAGTTTGATCTTATTCGACGACTGTGCTCTTCGCCTGAGTTGGCGAGTCTTGTTCATGACTTTGCTTTTAGGATTCGGGGGTGCGACGACTACGGCGAGGATGAACTCCCCCCAAGGCGCAAAGAGTATAAGCCCTTCATTGATGAACTTGTGGCTGCATTATGTGAACTGGGATGTGATGAATGGGTGTGGTGGGATGGTCTGGGAGCTTATCTAAAGACGCATGGGCTTGCGCAACGCTCATTAGATTGACTCGTCTAACTACTTTGAAGGTCGCGCTTGAGAACTACGATTTTTCGGATCCGGCAGAGACGTACCTAGCAAGAATCTGGAGATCAGCAGCATTTCGTCCACAACCACCAGTTAACGCTGCTCCATTTCAACGTCTCAAAGACATCTTTCTCTTCCAAAACCGCCGGCAGATCTCAGCACAAACACCGCTTACTTCACAGCATATACTGTATTCGCTCTGTTTTCCAGCTCTCAACCATGTCAGTGTGTGCGGACATTTTGACTATTGGGATTATGAACAAGATCTTGAAAAGTGCCTGCTTTACGACAAGTTCATGATTACAAATTGTCCAGTCAAAGAGGTTACTATTTGGCCGTCAGAATACTGCAACGGAATCATTCAATGGTGCAGAGCATCGACTAATCTCGAGCGTCTTAATCTTGTGATAAGTCAGGTGGAGCGTGAACCGCCTGAGATAACAGTCACCGACTATTCACGCCAAGGGCTCCTAATGGTCAAGGATACCCTAAAGTCTCTTTCTATTCAATGGGATGACAGATTACAGCAAGGATTTAGAGAAAGAGGGCCCAATTCCCATCGTCTCAAGATGAGCATTTTCCGATTGTCGTCACTCATGGAACTGGGTGCTCTGGAGCATCTCATTATACCACATTTAAATCTTAGTGGGTTTCCAGACTAACCCACATATGAGTATTCAAAATCCTTCATTAGCAATTTTCCTGCCTCACTCAAGACACTCAGGATAACCGACATCAATTTCCATCTCATCACTGAATTACTCCCAGATATTGTGGGATTAGTCAAAGAGCGGACTTCCATGCCCTCCCTGGAGTGTGTTTCTCTTGAAGCCTTCAAAAATGCAGACTCGAGGAGTACCTTCTGCGATGATGTCTCAATTCAAGGGTATCTGTCGCATAACGACCCCCAGGATAAAGGGCCAGGTTCGCCTTGATTTAGGACGGGATGCCGGGCTACTTAAACAGCATAATGCGCTGAAACCATATACTGAGAGCTATACCTTTCGGTTCATTGAAGGAGCAGACCACCTTGATGCAGCTTCATTTGTGAGGCTGGCATCCTCAGTAGATGACAAGGTCTCTGTAAATATTAACATACAGCCGGATCCTTATTGTATAGAAGAGAAGAAATAGATACCCCAATCATTGAAGACCGGCTCATGCCGCTGTTCCATGTGATTCAAGGATCCTTATTATGGAATAGGTAATAGCGATTGGTGTATGAATGCTTCCAGCTGCCTCTTCGCACGGACTTTACTTGCTTGACTGTACGGTTCTTATCTTTCCCGTAAAGTACATCAACTTAACAATTTGGCATCTTTTAAACAAATCAGAGAGCGTATATTATGCAGCTTGGTCATGCCACCACGATAGAACTGCGTCCTCGTCAGAATGTGCTTCGTAGAACAATCTCATAGGATGGAAGAAAACTGTGCTGTGAGCAGATTATTACGATATCGACAAGGCGTAATCGGCGCTAGAAAGGCTAAGCTCCGAAGGTGGGGCGGGAATATGACCCATCATCCAGTAGAACCCTCTGCCCTATAAGTAAGAACATGGTCGGGCACCTGCCTCTGCACCAAAGATTGTGAATTGATTTTTGTCACAGCCTCGGTGACTCGTCTGCCAAAATGCAGATGGAGGGTATGAGCGGGGGGACGTACTACGGCGTCTTGCACGCCTCCGACGTTGACTTTGCCAATATCACCCAGGTCGAGACGTTTCTGCATGAGCTCAAGCACCTGGAGTATCTTCCTATTTTAGGGGCACGCTATGCGGAGTATTTCTGGTATGGGGTTATTGTTCTGCTGGTCGTGGTGGCGGTCATCAACAGGGTGTACTCACTTGTTCAACGTTTGAGGTGAGTAGAGTTTTTCGGTAACTTGGTTCGGATATGATGCTGATAAGTAGGTGTTGCGGGAAGGCTTCATCCTAGTATAATCCAAAATTCATACCTTGCCAATATCGTTTCGTCAACACTCGCAACTACCACAGCGCTGGCTCGGGAGCCATCTTATCTCCAGTGGACCCCCCGTGCGTTGTCACCTTGGTTTAAAATCCCGCCATTCGGACCGATTTATATCATCCTCATATACTTTGTCTTCATCATCGTTCTGGAGTTCGTCAACAACGATGTTGCAGGCGCTGGTTACTGGCAGTTTCTCGGAGTCCGCGCTGGATGGCTTGCAGCTGCCCAAATTCCCCTCCTTGTAGCCTTGGCAGGCAAAAGAAACCTGATTGGTATGCTCTGCGGCATACCCTATGTCCGACTGAACATCTACCATCGCTGGGTATCCCGAGGGCTTCTGCTGCTCTCGACTTTTCATTTCGCCTTTCAAAACCATGGGTGGGATATTTATCATGTAAGTAGACTGGAGTGGGACACAGATGACTGTCCCACAAAGGGTATCGCCGCCTACGCCTTCATCCTATGGATGAATCTCACGACGTTAGCCCCCTTCCGACATATGAGCTATGAGTTCTTTGTCGTACAACACATCATCACGTTCTTCGGCTTCATCATCGCCGTCTCCTATCATCTGGACACCAGCCCGGCCCCTAACACTCAGCGCTACGTCTATGTCACCGCCGGTATCTACGTCGCTGGTTTGATCCTGCGATTTATTTACTACAGCTATATCAACTCTCGCCCCGCACGAGCCATACTAGAACCCCTGGAAGGCGGCGCGACCAGGGTCCGAATTACTGCTCGCAAGATCCGTAACTGGAAGCCCGGCTCGCATATCCTTCTATCACTCCCGCGCTTAGGGCTCCAGCTCTCACACCCAGCAACCATCTCATCCATACCATCATCCCACGATGGCGAACTAATCCTGATCTTAAAAGCCCACAACGGCTTCACGCGAAAGCTTATCAACACCGCAGAAGCCACACTCAACAGCACCAAAGACGTCGAGTCCCCACAAACCAAGCGCTCATACACTGCTCTACTCGATGGTCCCTACGCAAGCTCTGCTCCAGACTTCACATCTTTCGATTCCGTCGTATTCCTCGCAGGTGGCACAGGTGTAACATTCACCCTATCCCAGCTTCTCCACGTCGCACACCGTTCCACAAACGGGTCACTGCCTCTCCGCCAAGTCCTCTTCATCTGGGTAATCAAGGAAAGCCGCCAAGCGTCATGGGTTCTGGCCGAGCTTGAAGCCGCGATGCAGAAGCTGCAGAACACGAACATTCAGATCCGGGTGAAAATCTTCATAACGCAGGACTCTGTTTGCCTCCCAGATACCGACAGCAAAATCAGCAATGAGAAACAGACCTGTGCCTGCACAGATCCCTGCACCTGCTCTAACAACAGTGACGACGTCGACAAAATCGAACAAATAGCTCCTTCTTCACCCTGCACGGACCCCGATTCGGCCCTCGAAACCTCGGGACCCCCCAGGATCTCCTTCGCACAGGGAAGACCTTCGTTCGACGGTTACATCGAGGACGCCGTCTTGCAAGCTAGGGGCGAAATAGCTGTTGCTGTTTGCGGACCCATCGGACTAACCGTTTCTGTGCGACAGGCGGTGGTCCGGGTGTCGGATCATCTGGCCGTTTGTAAAGGGTCTGGATTGCCGGGGGTGCTTTTGCATGTGGAGAATGTGTGTTGATGAATATTATATACTAGACTACAGTAATACGCAGTGGTAGTATATAATTGGACTAGGCCGGTGGGTGGATGCAGTGGTGCGATGTATATATCCGAGACGAGTACATATTCTAGCTACTTGTGGTATGAGACCTGTGCGTTCAGTTTCTATGAGAATACGAATACGACAGAGGGTAGGTATAGCCTGTTCCTAATTAGATAAAGTCTAGAGATTTGTCCCAGAGTCTTGTTTAATCTTATAAACCTTGGCAATAGGATTCCTTAGTGAAGACCTTCCGGATACTATGGTAATATCACGCTAAGCTCCTATGAGATATTCACTCGGGCCATCATTAATCCGAGTCGATGTTGATCCTGGCCACGTCATGTATGCCAACTCACTTGATTTAGTAACAATGAGGGGTAAGTATACTTCCTGATAAGCCCGATAGAGAATGGTTGGATGCTATAACACCCATATATGTCCCCTTTTAGTCCTAAAACCCACCTGGTGTATCTTACTAAACAAAAATCAAAAAAAGGATATACCCCACATTCACTGCTATACAAATGTAAACCCAAAACACACCACTTAGGTGGAGAAAATGATCCCCTTAACCTACTCAGAGCTTCGGCTCGGACCGAATACTATACGCCTCGTCCGTCTTCTACCATCCGAGAAAGATGATACCCCGATAAGATGCGAGCTCTTCACCTATATACTGCCAGAGAGCACTGGTAGAAAGCATCTCTACGAGGCGTTGTCCTACGTATGGGGCAGCCAAAGTGAGACACATACAATCATTGTGAATGGATGTGAGCTTCATGTTACACGGAACCTTTACACAGCCTTGGTACACCTCCGAGACAATCAGCTGGAGAGAATTTTATGGATTGATGCAATATGTATCAATCAAGGGGATGATGATGAGAAGAGCGAGCAGATCCCTCTTATGCGGTCGATTTATGCACAAGCTGATCGCGTTCTTGTCTGGCTTGGAGAGGCTATGCCGGATGGCGATGAAGCACTCAAAACCATTCAGCGTTGGGCAGGAGAAAGAGTCCTATGGGCTGATAACTTATTTGATCTATGTTCAAGATTATTACGGCGCGATTGGTTCCAACGTACATGGGTAAGAAGCATTGGATAAGATATATATATATATATATATATATATAGTATATATATCATATATTCACATCTAACTAGTTGTTATAGGTACTCCAGGAGGTTGGTGTCGCCCGATGCATTTCGATCGTCTGTGGCTCCGTGGAAATAAATGGGCTTGTTTTCTGTAAAGGACTCGAACGCTGCAGACGTTCGTTGCCAGACTTTATCTACCCAGTCCTTCACCTGATCAAGGGCTCGTTTCTCCGACCAAGATATGAAATTGATCCACGTGGGACACTTGCTATAGGTCAACTGATTGACATGTACCGCTTTCACAAGGCAACTATGCTACACGACAAGATATACTCATTGCTAGGCCTGTGCGTTGAAGATCCTGAAGAGGTTGGTTTAAAGCCCAACTATCGTCTTCCATGGAATGAGATCTTCATGCAGGTAATTATGCATGTATTTCCAAGTTCATGCTCTGTGGAGACATGGCCTGAGTCAACAATTGCCGTGATCAAAGGCAATGGATTGGTTCTAGGTTATGTTGGCCGTGTTGCAAAGGGAATTCATGGCTCTCAACAGGTTGAGGTAAATGATAATGATACCGCTCACTCACTAGGTTATCTAAGCAAATGGGGCAATATGTGGCAGATTAACGCTTCTGCGGAGTCAGTTGAGAAAGGTGATATTATCTTTCTATTGGAAGGAGCCTCAAGTCCAATCATCATTAGAATCTGCAGGGGTTTTTTTACTGTCATTGTGAGCACAACAGCACTTCATTCATATCACAAAGTGAAAAGGTCTAATGATGTTTCCACCCAAAAGGAGGCCCCTACACAAGGCTCTCTTAGAGACATTGTCTTGGTTTGGGATATATCCTCAGCTGATGGAGAAAAGCATAAAGAACTCGACGACCAAAATGACCTCATCTACTTGGTACCACATTACCAAGAGAAACCTTCCGAGAGAAAAAAAAGACTACAAGAAATATCACTCATCTCAGAAGGCATTATGATGCAGATACTGCATCAAATTGGGCCCAGGTTCCAAGATCACCGGTTATACCGTCTTGAAAGGTGCCTAGCAGACTTTGAGCTGATGATCAAGGTGGCTGTTGAAGATGAAGGAATTTATGAGATCAAAATTGTGGAGCAGCTCCTGGAACACTGTAGAGATAGTCTACCCGTCTCTGAGAATGTGGTCGCGGCAGCAGCAGCAAATGAAGGAATTTTGGGGTTTATAGTTATGGGGCAGCTCCTGAAACACTGTGGAAAGAGCCTACCGGTCACTGATGTTGTGGTCAAGGCAGCAGCAGCAAATAAAGGACATTTTGGGCGTAGGATCGTGGAGCAGCTCCTAGAACATTGTGGAGGAAGCCTACGAGTCTCTGAAGATGTGATCAAGGCAGCAGAAGCAAACGAAGATGATGTGCAGGAGTTGCTCCTAGCTTATGGAAAGTCAGAGCCTACCAGAATCTGAAGGTATTGTCTGGGAGCAGAATCAAGGGAAGTTACAGATGTCAGATCAGGAAGCTGCCCCGGGAAGATATAAGTAGGATGGCGAGGATTCCCTGTGGCTCCATAGCATCCCAGTATCTCTTTATTGCTCCGTATAGGCACGTCTCTTTTCAGTCGAGGCATCCGATTTAGCAGGTATGTGAAGGTCACATGCACGATTACGCACCTCTACGCACCTCTACGCAGCCTGCGAAGCCTTAGATGTGAATATTACCCAGTGGCCTTGATCTAGATAGCGTTCTCAACATTTGTTAACCCCTTTGCTAAGGGGTATCAGGGATAATGGGAGGTCTTGATCTCACCATGGCCTCTTCACACGACCAGGGACTGAGTTCTCCATCTGCAGGACGGAAGGTTCTAGCTCTAGCTAAACGATGGCGTCTTCTGGTTCGTTATATGTAGTGAATGGCACAGCTGGAATAACCAAAGAGTACTCCGTACAAGCAGTGACACCAATATCCGAAAACCCTGTAATGTAGGATCTGCTTTACCCTTTTGCGGTCGGCTATGACTTGGCGGGTACTGGCAGTGCTGGGGCCTTAGGCTGGTTTGGTTGGAAACTAGGGGGGAGGGAGTTGATTCAAACTGAATTCACCAGGTGATTTCTCAACAGTTGACAAGAGTACTCAATTCATCTTAAGATAGCTGCGAGGGGCTTGCCTAAAAGACATGTAGAAAATATCCTGTCTTTTTGGACACGAAACGCTGGCATTCTGCGACAATTGACTGGTATGGCCCACTGTCGCTCGATGGCCAAGACGTCTGAGTGTCGAGCAATATTCCCCACTCACGTTTCGGAGCTCCGAAGGTGTACTATGTTTAGAGTTGTCAAATATACATAATCCAGAAAGTTGCTACCTATTTGCTTTCCGTAGCTTATCTCAAAGATAACGGAAATAGAGGGTATTTGGCGGACAGGGTGCTACTAGCCTAATTTATTTAAAAAGTGGTCTAAAGCTAAGATTGAAGAAAGTATGTGTGCGGGTTGGTCAATTTTCGCGTGCAAGGTCAAGGGCCTTCGCAGTACTAAGGCCCGATCGTCAAAGGAATTTCAGGGGGTAAAGCCCGTTTCATTGTCCCGGTGATTTTCGATGCAGTGTACGGCAAACAGCACATACTGTCAGGGTATGAATGTGTGCCTGTCAGCAGATTGTCAGAGTATGCCCCTGACGTATTATCCGATTCATGTGAAAATCCCTACGGCGAGCCTTAGGAAGAATGCAATGGCTGCCTCCGTGGGTCCAGTCCGTTAAAATCTCGCTTGTTTATTTAATGTGGGTATGCTTCGGGGATCCGAATTTCTCTCCCCGCGGTAGTTGATTCTAACTCCAACCGGTCCTTGGCTAAAACAAGTCTGCGGCACGAGTGACCAGATAGGCTTAGGAAAAACCAGATTGTACCTGGACGGGAGATGGGGTCAGACGGGACGTTCCACCTGGGCTTGCGAAGTGTGCGAAAGTGCGTTGGAAGATGGTTTGTTCGTTAGTCGTTACGCATGTGCCATTACGTAGAATTGTTCAAGGGTCTATTATTAGTAGTTTAGAACCCCAGAGAAAACCCGATTATGGAGTTGAGCCAATTTGTTTGCGCAGCATAGGGTGGTTCGTCCGAGCTTTTGAGATGTCAAACGGGCCCATCGTCATTTCAGACAAGTTGGACTCGTGGTGCGTGGGACCCGGCCCCATTATCGTTATCTGCGGTCCAGCGAATCAAAAGACACCTTTCCGTGGGAACAGGGGGGCATTGCTTACTGCGCTTTTCAAGGCTGGTGGATGCGCATAGGCGGCTTAGCCACGGTAGGAGACGGGAGGACGAAAAAGACAGCAAGGTCAATGGATAGAGGCGAAGTGGAAAAATTAAAAATCAGGGAATAAAGGCCACCAGGATGAATGTGAATTGAAAACTAGGATGCAGCTGATCGGCAGGGAACAGAACAAGATGATGGGAAGGCAAGAATGAAGAGTGGATTGTGACTGACGGAGTGACGGGATTGAGAGTTGCACCGTGGCGGAGAATGACTTACTGACTAACAGACGGCCCCTCACCAATCACGAGCGGCTGATGCCGACTGTCTTCCCCTTCGATCATCTCACAGCCTTTCGCAGTCCAGGCCATCCGTTCATTCACCATCCAACTCAACCCAGTCGTTCTTTCGGTCTCTCTTTCGGTTCCAATCCCTCCCCTCCCCCCGGATTCTCCTTCTTCGGATGAAGGTTCTCTCTTATTCTTCCCAATATTCTAGATAGTTAGTTCCAAGGGCTGCTCGCCAGAGCTGCCTCTTGTTCGCTCTTGGACTCTCCGCCGACCTTTCTTATCGCGGCCGCAGCGCCGCTCCGCTCCCTTAATCGCCATGCTGCTCAAACCCGCCACTCCCCTCACCATCCTCCTCCTGATCGCATTTGCGCTTCTCCTCATCTCAGTCATCTCCACCCCTATCGTCAAAAGCATTGCGCTTGCGAGACATGATAATATTGATTATGGCGTGTTCGGATACTGCAAAGGCGATGTGTGCACCAGCATTCATGTTGGTTACGCCGACGGTTCGTCGCCCTCTTCTTGTGCTTTTGATCTCAATCTCGTCAAGACCGCTAAACTCCTGCATTAAACCGCAGCTGACTCTAGTTCAGATGATATTACTTCCGAAGACGGTACATTCAGCATTGCGCCTGGCACCCGCCGATCGCTCTCAGCCATTCTGATCGTCCATCCCGTCGCGGCCTTTCTCACACTTGTATGTCTATGTATGGCAGCAGCGGCTCATTTTCATGCACCGTCGCACTCGCCCCGCTATTTGCTAGCCTTGTTGATTTTACTGCTTCCTACCCTTCTTGTGTCACTCCTCGCCTTCCTCGTCGATATTCTCTTGTTTGTACCGCACATGGCCTGGGCAGGATGGATTGTCTTAGTTGCGACCATTTTACTTGTCACTTGCGGCGTGGTCACATGTGCAATGCGTCGGACACTTGTGAGCCGCAAGGCTAGGAAGAAGCGAATCAACGAAAACGCTGAAATGAGCGGGGAGAACTTCTACAACCGCCAAAATGCAGCGACGGCGGCAGCAGCAGCGAACATGGATACAAAGGAACCTGTGATCACTGGGTCTTCACCTTCATCTGAGACGGGTCCTACATTTGCTACTTTCCGTACGACTACACACGACAGTGATGACGACCGTACTCCACTGAACTCACGGACTGTTCAACCTGACCCTCCAATGCCCGATAGTCAGTTCACCCGCGTCCGGAGGGATATGGCGGCCTATAACTCCACGCCTGACGATGCTGGTATCTCTGGTCCGCAGGCTCCACCATCCGATCCTCGTTTGCGCAATCAGTATTCCGACGGCAGTGTTGGCTCGCGGAGAGGGCCCCCTCCGCCAGGGTTTGCCCGCGGACGAGGTGGTTATCCACCGCGCGGGGCTTATGGCCGTGGAGGGCCTTACAGAGGACCACCTCGAGGACCGCCTCCGGGTGCAAACGGTGTCCCAATGGGTCCCATGCGAGGTGGACACCCCGGGATGATGGGACGAGGCTATCGAGGACCCCCTCCGGGTGATTACATGCCCGGGCCCGCTCCTCGACCAACCCCGCCGCCTGAAGATGAGTACGGCTATCACCACCCACCGCCCGTCGCGCGAGAGCCGTCCCCTGGACCAATTGGAATGGCAGTATCTCCAGATCATGGTAGCCCAATCGGCCAGGCCATCGAAATGCAACCACAGCCACGACGAATGGGCTCCCATGAATCGCATGAAGGGCACCTCGAACCCCAGCCACATGCGCTATCAGCAGATGGATATCCGGAACCTATTAGTCCCTCAAGCCTCTATAGTCGGACAGCGTAAGCTGTGTATCCCTTTAACCTTTTCTTAGGATGCTAACAAATCCTAGATCCTATGTTCCTCCACGTGCCGGTTGGGCTCCAGAAGAACCGCGGGCCGGCCCCTCGCCCTCACCTGTCCATGCGTATGACGGGCCACGACAACATGCTCGAACTCCTTCAACGGACTATTTTGAAGATGCAGACCCTCGGTTTGCTACTACCAACGAGTCGGCGGCGGGCAACCCTCGGTTGCCGGCTGTCTTGACACCAGGTGCTACTGGTGAGAGGAAACCGATGGAAGATATGGCGGAAGGACCCAGCTCACCGACTACTAGCGAAGTAAGCCACTTTACGTCAATATCTGAGCGGCCTATCAATCCCCGCTGGCGCCCACCTCCCGTTCCAGCTCAGCGGAAGCATGACGTTCTCCTAGAGAACAATCCCGACTTTGACTTGCGGGCCGGTACTGGGCGAGGAGGAGGAGCTGCTGGTGTTGGTAGTCGCATGCCACCTATGTCAATACCTCGAGATGCGGCAAGATACCCCATTTGAACATAATCTTAATCCTTTCGTCTCAACCATTGATGTGCTTGTCACAATCATCATGCCGGCCTTGCGTGGAGTTATGGAGTCTGTTATGGAGTCTGTCACTGGACTGTTTTCGTTGTGTTCATCACTTATCCTGTTATGCTTGCGCAGCATGACACTGCAAATAAGCGCCCCTGTCCGTTGCGTCGGTCCATGTATATGAAAAGTGGAAGATCCGGATGTACAATTGAACGGCTCTCTTGCTGTGATGTGGGCTTGATTGTCGTTAGTTATGATTGTTATGTTAGTTCGATAGCCATGATTGATTATGAGATTAGCAGTTGTCTTCCTTTGCTGTATAATAGGGAAGACATGATTTCGAGTGTCCAAAGGTAAATCCATTTAAGCGCCATAGCAAGTTTGTCTTCAGGCTAGAAATGTCGCCAAGCGCGGTCATGTGAGTCCTGCTCTTCTCAAAGGGATCAATCACTTGGCCCGCATGCAGTGCTACTTCCACCGCAGAAAAGCCTCTCGAGACGACTTCATTGCACTTGCCAATCAATATTGAGTCTACATTCTGTAGCGCACTCCATCACGCAGCATATCCGTAAA